TGTAATTTCATTCCAATCAATGGAATCATCTGATTATATTATTGTTTGAATGCTATGTTAATTAACTATGAATGACTGCAATTATCACAAAGGTTCTCTCCACAAGGGATTTTTTTTTTTTCTTTTTTATGTACCGTTTTAACCCTTGCAATCAGGACACAATATTTAGAATACATCTAAGCAACAATCTCTTTGGACTTACTCTGTACGCTCATCTAACCTACTACTTTGCAGCATTTAACAGAACCTCTGAATACCCTAATACAAGAAAACTTGTATTACATTACAGCAATTCAACATCACAAGATGGAGGAAGAAACAAGAAAGCTTCATTACTAGTTGCACTTGCCCTACAATGAGACATTAACAAGAAAATTAGTGCTGCAAGTTTAAGCCTGCAGACAGTAAAAGTTAGTGCCTAAGCAATTTCTGGGAACGGGGACTAAAGATTTTTTTTAAATGTTTTACCAAAGAAAACAATTTTTGATATATTTCTATCTGATCTTTACATAAAGAGAATGTAAATATTATATAAAACTCCTATGTTATGATAAAATGTTACAGTATAATGATAGAGGTTCATGTAAAAGTCTGCAGAAAAAATGTTTATGGTGATAGGCTTTCTGTGTATTTGTTTGAGAATCATATGAAATGTCCTTAAATACTTTAAATATTTAGGTCATTCATTTTAGTTAAATTAAACAGTTGCATTAAAAAAAACATTTTGTATTTTCTCTTTCAAAAAGAATATACAATGCTTTATGGAGTCTTAAAAGCCAGAACCACAGAATCCTGTTTTCCAAAGAATGTAGCAGAACTTCAAGAAGGATGAGCAATAAAAAGACTAGTATTTCTGCATTTGGTCTGATAGCCAAGCGAGACATATACATAGACATTTTTTGTAAAAATTGTAAGTATTCTACCCTGAAAATCCACCAAGAGAAACAGTAACACAAAGTGTTCAGACTACTCTGTTCTCCATAAGATACCTTTTGCTGCCTTACTTTGCTGTCTCTGAGGACCACACGCTCTCTCCTCTAGCCCCTCACCCCATCATTGATTTCTCCTTTTGCTCTCAGCATGCTGATTCTCTATTGCCCTGAGTCTCTATGGTGTTTACAGAAGGCAGCAACTGATGCAAGACTTTTTTTTTTTTTTTAAATAGCAAAATTTTCAAACTGACTTGTCAGCTCAATGACAAATTCTTCACAAACATTTCCTATCAAAAACCAGCTGATTCTAGGTAGAGTACACTGAGTGTAGTCTATCAAATCTGGAAGGAATTTTTTTTTTCTATGCATAGTTTTAGAAGTTACTTTTAAAACTTTGAAAGTGCAATTGGGAGATTTAATTCCTGTTCATAACAAAATAAAACCAGAAGACTTGTAACTGGAAGATAAATTGAATTTTAAAATGAAAATTTTAAGGACTCTAATTCTACATCTTTAATTCTTAATCAGCATTTTTATTTGCCCATTGAAATAAGACTGAATAAATTTAGAAATTGCACCAACCTAAATGACAATGAATTGAAAACTAAAAAATACAGTAAAGACTCCCAGAATATATTTTGCAGTTTGTTCCTCCCTTCGTTTGGCTGCTGCCTTTTAGTCCTGTGAAAAAAATCTCATGTGTGCTATTGTCTATGATTACTGTTGATGTAAGAAACTGAGATTCATGGACTACCCTTTAACACGTATGTTATCTGTAATCTGAAACCAGGGCTGCTGGAGAAAAACCGAAGAATGGTCCATCTCTTAGGTCCTCATATGCAAAACACAAGACGCATCTGTTGCCAGATGTTGCAAAATATACACCTTTGTAGAAAGGAACTGAGAGGACATGAAAGTAAATGATGGACAAGGAAGAGGTAACTCACATGTTGATCCTCTAGAAATAAACAGAGGTACGGCATACGGAACTAGTTGGATGAAGCACAGTTCAGATAAGGCAAAAACCAAGAGACTGAAGAAAAGAACGACCAAAAGCAAAAAAGGTAACAGGCAGTCCTGTGACTGAGATTCACCTACCATTTGTTCTGAGGTTCTGCTATCAGAGGGTAGCATTGGCTTCCAGTGTGCCATTGCCCAGATTGATCTCTTTCATTACCGCTTATCCAGGTAATCATGAAAGCTTTTCCTCAGATCTAGTCTTTGCTAGTTCAACATATGTCTTTGTAACCCCAAATTCCACATCGGTCTCTACAATGTTATACACAGAGTCACAGCCTAATTGGGAAAGATGGTGCAAAATAAAGTAGTATGGAGGTAAAGTGCGACTCAAATTGAAGTTGCTGGTGACACATACTGGCCATTTGTTCATTTTCAGGTCTAGTACAAGGTGTTCTGAGCTTCAAACAGTGACCTAAATGCACCAGACCTAATGGCTGGATCGAGTCTTCTACCTTAAGATAAACCACCATAGTCTCGATGCCTCAGTAAGCAAAGACTGGAAGCTAAGCATCTTTTTTTTTATTATTACTATTTATTTTAGAATAAGGCTGTTAACCTCTATCCCTTTGTGAACCCTTCAGAATTCTTTACCCTTCAGGTCTGAAACAGAACAAATACATTGAGACCAGAGCACTTTTTTAATACCTTTCCAAACAACTGCCTTTGCTATTCATTTTTCTTCAGTGTGGTCACTGGCTAGAAGTGATCAAACCTCAGTCAGCTATACTTTACCTTCCACAGACCCAGCTGAGGACTGTACTTTTCCTACTCCACGTGACATTTCCAGAGGGCAACAGATTTTTTCTGATGCACAACTATGAGAAAAATAGCTTTCAAAGTTCTCCTTGCATCTCCACCTGCCCTGATGTCGCTGGCTATTTACAAGTGCTCTTCCATTTCATGAATCACACATGGACTCTTGTACAATCCTGAATGATAAATTCTTGAGTTCCACCTCATTTGCAAGACTAAAAGTGTGCTCTCCAAAAATCCCATTGCTATGAAAAAACCCTTTCACAGTGTACTCCCTCATCCCCTCAGGGACTTCATCTTCTTTTACATACCCATTCACTTTTTCTTTTTTCCATTAATACAGAAAATTGAAAACTACCACGTTTATTTTCCATCAAGGTACAGATTCATTCAGAAGAAATTTACAACAACTTTTTAAAAAAAATCTTCTCTTTTATGTAAGTAAAGTAAGTGTTCTCTAATTATTTTATTCCCATGATTCAAATGGGACATTTCATTGAATATATGTTTGCTCAGTAGGCCAAGAACACAAAAAGAAATACAGTACAGACTCATGATGGAAAAACTGCTATTGTTGAGAGTTTATAAATGCTCTATTGTATTAATATAGCCAACCCCAGACAACTGTAACCCCTTGGTTTGTTCTCCATCTTTCACCACCAGTATACAAGGCCACATTACTGTCCAGTGCCTTACACAGTACTGTAAAAGAGAGATGACAGGCAGACAAGGGGTACAGAGAGGGACCAACTTCATCATGAATGCAAGGTAGCTTCAAATTACAAAACTTTGTAGGAACACATAATCCTTCATTAGCATTTATACCCTCTGTTTCCTTATACAACCAGTGAACACATGCTTTACAGGAGAATTATGCTTCAGATACCTTCCCTTATTTATTAAAATTCTGTCTGTGTCCCTTTGCCTAGCATCTGTATGGCACAATGTTGTCTATATACATTTCTAACCAAAAATATTTCACATTAGGATAACTTTATTAAGGTCAGAAAATAAACCCATGTACATAAAATAAACATTCCAATCCTATGTGTAGTGCTCAGTGGTCATATTTGCTAACCTTTAACTGAACGGTTATTTTAAATTTCTGAGTCAGAAATGCAGGGGAATCATGCTGCTATTCCAAAAATAACTGATAATTTTTTTCATAAATACTGGACTCTCAGAAAACAAATGTTTATTAATTAATCCCTCATCGGTGAGATTTTACAAAGCAGTTTGAAAGACACAGATTAAAACAATAAAAAAGATAAGTTGGATCATTGCCTTGTATACTATTACATCAAAATATGACACATCAGAATTCCTGTACATGGAAGGTCTCTAACAACGTGAGGATTTAGGACTGCATAAATCACAACGCTCTGTACTATAATCACATGACAGAATAGACCTGCAAAGCTTATTATACTGCATACCCAGATGGTAAACAACAGTTGTCACTGTACTAAGAATTACATCTCTGTAATCAATAATAGGAAGGAGGAACAGTTGGACAACTTGTTTCCTATTATGTTCACTTAGGCAACGTCTAGATCAATAAAGAGCATTAAGCCTCATACCAACTGTAGATGATGCCTGCTCAACATGCCTATCATATGGTAGCATTGGGTCCAGCTGTACTTCAAAATACTTGTAAATGGATAACAATTCTAATCTAACATTAAAAAGAAGCAATGATTCAAATAGCAGGCAGGTGCAGGACTTCTTTAGCATATGAGAGAAGACAGACCTATGATGCCAGTTTTAGTGTAAGCCAAAGTCAGCTTATTTTGTTAACCCATCCTATAATTGCATTTCACTACAGTCTATCTGAAAGATGTTACATGTTTTATATGGAGGAAAGGAAAAAAGCAACCAAGCATGCTATCACTGGCTCACATATAGTCTCAGTAATTACGTGGATATAGTAAGCTGCTCGCAAAAATGGAAAACTGAATTTGTGTATTGCTCTAGGCCAATATGTCAATTAATTACAAGTAATTTTTTAGTTAATCCATTTTTTAACTACTTACACAGTAAATCAACCCATTCAGCTACAGTCTCCTCTTACTTAAGAATCTATCACATAAATCTGAAAATTTTAACAAATAACTATATTAAGACAGCTAGCTTTAGCTTCCATTTTTCCTTATATCCCATACTTTCAAAATCCATCAAATTGAAACTGTCTCACATCATGCTATTAACAATTAACACAGAAACAAGTCCCAGTTTATTCTTAGACAGTCATTCAACTTCAAGATGACAAAACACAGGACAGTGAGCTCTTCTTACCTATTCCAATAAAGACTGCTTCATAGCCATCTTCTTTCAAGGTACGGAGTGTCATCCCATCCACTGCAAGGCCTTTACTAAAAATTATCTGAAAAAATTGAAGATTACTTGCCTTTAATGTGACAATGTGAAAATAATTTCTATTGTGTTCTGCATACAGACATCTCACAGGATTTTCTAGTGAACAAAAAAAGCAAATTATTGTTTTTTTCCCCCAAACCAGGCTTAAAAGATCAGATTGGCTCTGATTTAAGAAAGTGGCCCAAACTAGATAGGTGTAAAAGGGCTGTTGTAACTTCAGATCATCCTCAGATGTGAGCGACCACAGGCTAGCTTGGTTTCTGCTGTAAGCTAAAACAGTTAAAGCAAGCTAAACAAACAAACGAAGTCTGCCTATGGAACACAATACTGAAGTAAAGCTGCAAATGGCAGTTTTTCTACTGTGACTAAATCACTGTATTTGGTGCTGACTACAAAAAGTTGAATTCCCATGTGAAAATAAGAATTTTAGAGACATGATGTGGAAGCAAGAACCTTCTTTATGGAAGATGCCCCAAACAGATCACCCAGCACACCAGATGAAAAACAAGCAGTTTACGTTATCGCAGAAACATTAGTGAAAGTATGAGCCTCTTACAGGGAAATGAAAATCACAGAATCATAGAATTGTCTAGGTTGGAAGGGACCTTTAAGATCAAGTCCAACCACCAACCTAACACTGCCAACCCCGCTACTAAACCATGACTCTAAGCACCACATCTACCCATCTTTTCAATACCTCCAGGGATGGTGACTCAACCACTTCCCTGGGCAGCCTGTTCCAATGCTTCACAACCCTTTCAGTGAAGAAATTTTTCCTAATACCCAATCTAAACTTCCCCTGGTGCAACTTGAGACCATTTCCTCTTGTCCTATCACTTGTTACTTGGGAGAAGAGACTGACACCCACGTCGCTACAACCTCCTTTCAGGTGTTTGCAGAGAGCAATAAGGTCTCCACTCAGCCTCCTTTTCTCCAGCCTAAACAACCCCACTTCCCTCAGCCGCTCCTCGTAAGACTTGTTCTCCAGACCCATCACCAGCTCCGTTGCCCTTCTCTGGACACACTCCAGCACCTCAATGTCTTTTTTGTACTGATGGGCCCAAAACTGAACACAGTACTCAAGATGCGGCCTCACCAGTGCCAAGTAAAGGGGGAAAATTACTTCTCTAGTCATGCTGGCCACACTATTTCTGATACACGTCAGGATGCTGTTGGCCTTCTTGGCCACCTGGGCACACTGCTGGCGCATATTCAGCTTTTCAGCCACTCTTCCCCAAGCCTGTAGCACTGCATGGGGCTGTTGTAACCCAACCGCAGGACCTGGCACCTGGCCTTGTTGAACCTCATACCATTGGCCTCGGCCCATCGATCCAGACTGTCCAGCTCCCTCTGTAGCACCATCCTACCTTCAAACAGATCAACACTCCCACCCAACTTGGTGTCATCTCCAAATTTACTCGATCCATATCGTTGATAAAGATATTAAAGAGAACCGGCCCCAATACCGAGCCCTGGGGAACACCACTTGTGACTGGCCACTAACTGGATTTAACTCCATTCCCTACCACTCTTTGGGCCTGGCCCCCCAGCCAGCTCTTTACCCAGTGAAGAATACACCTATTCAAGCCATAAGCAGCCACTTAAAATAAAAGACAAGACACTATTCTATATTAACAGGGAGTCCAAACAGAAAACCAAGTGATGCTTTCCTGCACAGTATCAGGATCTTGGTAGGCCTACAATGGTGCAGCATGCAATGCCAGTCCCAAAGGAAGAATGGTATTGCCTTTGCGCTGCGCTCTCAAAGCTCACAGCCTGAATTTTGCACTGAGACCACTAGCTAGAACACCTTTATGCCAAAAACCCTCAGTGAAGTCAATGGTGTTTTTGTGGATGCAAAAAACCTGCCTGTAAAAATCTGAGCCAGAGATGGCATTAAGTCTGAAGAATGTTCTGTGCAAACTACAGCATGCCCTACTTGCTTGTAACGAAGCAGACTCAGATTCTGAGTGGTAAACTAACAGAGGTTTTCAAAATTATGAATGAGATCAGTTTTGATTTAAACTTGCAATTGTTAATTCTAATTTAGACAAACAACAATGTCTAAAGTGCAGTGACTGGTGTTCGTTTATTTAAAAAAAAAAATTGTCACAGTAATAAAAATATACCTATAATCTATATTTGTTTCCATTCAACTATTATTTACTTCTCGAGGTAAAAGCTGAAATTTTTTTGTAGAGTAATGTTCCATTAGCAAACCTGCTTTGAGCATCCATTGCACAGGTTGAGCAGCTGCAGTTGTCATAAGAGTGAGATGAGGAATTGTTTGCTGCCTGTTCAGGAAACCAACTATAGCAGTCCCCTGTGTAGAGGTCGTGCAATTGAAGATACACATACCTTTCACACATCTCTCCTAACCCTAAGGCTCTTGAGCGCGTAACGTGTGTGTGATTCCTCTTCTGATATTTTGTACTGCTTGATGCGGGTATTTGTGTTTCTATATCCATTTGTTAGACTCTCTGAACCTGAACATTTTGCCACAGTTTTTGTTACATCACTTGTATATTAACTTTACAAAACGCCACACTCTATTGTATAAGCACTAAACTTTGTGATCTTAACAGTTTAGTCCTCATGACATTGTATATATTGTTTGTTATTGAATCTGCCTATATTCCATTTAATATACATTTCCTATTGGTGGGGAAAAAAAAGGCAGATGTAAAATACAGTGTACAATACTTTAAAGAATTACTTTTTCTTGGTCTTTGGAGATACGGTATAAATTTTATCAGAGGTGCAAAAAGCCACGTATAGTTGTAATCCTTTCAAGAATACAGACTACATCCTCACCGGCAACAAAATACATTCCATAAATTGTCATTACATTTTTTTATCCTATTGTGTACATATGTTATGAAAACCTAATGAAGGAATTTAAATGGCAATACTATTTTATGTGGGGATTCATAATGCTCCTAGGGCCTCGCTCTGTAATCCTTATTCAGCTGACTAATTCTTATTAATTTCAGTAGAATTACTTGAATAAACAGCACTACTGAGCATTTACACAATACAGCACCTTCCACCAAAGATTTGAAATGCTTTAAGTAAACATGAGAAAATATTTCCAGCTTACAGAGGTATAAAGCTAAGGTACTTAGTTAACCAGCTTGCCAAAGGGTCAATTGCAAACCAATGGCAGAGCTTGGAAGCAAATTTACATTGAGATTCTCTGCTGCACTTCAAAACTGCAGAGGACTTGCAGGTAAAGATGACATGGTGGCTCTATGAGTCCATTCTGGAGACCTTGTCATAACAGGGAGCCCCGGGGGACTGAGTTTCGCAGAGGATTCCCAGGAGCCCATGCCCAGCAATTTTGTCTAAAATTGTCAGTGCTCTGTTTTTAGACCCATCCCTACCTCAATCTCCATTCTGTCGGTCTTTTCAAGGGTTGCAAAGGGATCTTTACAGTAGAAAAATATACCTGTAGTTTTTAAAGCCTTATCGTACATCTTACCAGCATTTTTATAAAACCTGGGCAGGATGAGGTTCTCGCTTGGGTCTTGTGACAACAGTCTACTGCTTTTACAATATGAACCGACATGAAAGGTTCCAAGAAGCATTGCTTGCTAAACTGAGTGCTTTAGTATCATGTTAAAAATACATTATCTCTCCTGGTACTCAAAAATTTGATCCAGTGATGCATTCTACATTTGTAACTTGTATTAAAGTGTGCAGCAGTTGCAAATACTATCTAAATCTTCGGCTCAAGCCCTAAATTAACAATAAAGCAATGTTCCCATTATCTATGAACAGCACACATTTGTTTAACAGAATAATGCATAAGTATTGCTTTCCAAGAAGTTCAATGACTGTTATTGTTTACATTAGATGATCATGTTAACACTTTGTTTAATTGGATGCATTTTATTATAAAATTAACTTGGATGCAAGACTGTATGATAAACCATTAAGAAAAAAATTCAGGGAGAGTGAACAAAAGGAGAAGTACCAAATATGAATGTTTTAAGTAGTGCCAAACTTGCATGAAAAAAAACTCGATTAAAAAAAATCAAATCATTCCAATAGCTACATTGAACCCCTAAAGCAATTTAGGAATTTGTTTCTTACAGACAATTAATCACATGCAGGCATGCCAGATGAGAACTATTGATTGCCCTTTTCCAAACTAGTGGCATTCAGACAGGAGACAGACAAATGCCCTGAGCAAGAGGAAGCATCTTCCTGCCTCTGTCTAGCGTAGCTTTTAATTGTTCTTTACTAATGTGCATGACATTTTGCTGTTAATCTTTGGCAGAGTTCTTGTTCTTTTTTCTTTGAGCTATATATAGGCAGGATATATTTTTCATTACCTTCACTCCAAGATCCTTCATAAGCTCAGCTTCAAAATTCACTACATCATACGGCAATCGGAACTGGGGGATTTCAGATGTACTAAAACAAATAAAAACACTTGTGAATTACTTCCAGCTATGATGAAGAAAGGATTTTTTTTTTTATTTCTTAAAAATTCAATACTTATAACACACCTTAATTAATTTTGATGTATATGAATGGAAATGTGCTGACGCTTGACCATTGGCATTTTTAAATTGTTAGAGTGACAAAACAGCATTATTCAGCAATGCTAAAAATATAGGCCAAGAAGGCAGTACCTTGAGGCCAATCCTGCCCACACTTGCAGGTAACCATTTAACATACGTTAAACTTAGGTCCAAAAGAACTTCGGCTCCATTCCTTTTGTTCACCAGAATATGTAACACTAAACAAACCTCAGATATCCATTTAAGAAAAGATCTCATGGCTATTAAAAGCAAAGTGATCTTCTAGCAATCATTCGTTAAGATACCCAATAAGAAAGACTCAAATTTCCCACACATTTTTTTAAAAAAGTGTTGCATATGCTATTTTGAGCAATGGCATTTAAAACTGTACCCTCCTCCATTTCTACTTCATAAATTTTTTATGATCTTCCAGGATGGACAAAGCCAGTAATTTTCTATCAGCTCTTGGTTTCAAGTCTGTTTTTTGACCTCATGTTTATTAGCTGGCATTTTTTCTTCCTGGGAATGGGAAAGGTTAGGAATGTCATCTTCAAGTTCCCAGAATCACAGATCTCATGTATGGGAAAACTGCAGTGCCAGCATAGAATCTCAGATTATATCTACTGGTACAGATTTTTATCTCCAATGAAATGACATCTACTTATGCCAGTTTAAAACCTCTGCCATAAAACACATCACAGGTAAACATAGTGAAGTTCTATTTAGATACTTTTGTTCAATGAAGGTAAAAAACTGAATATGCAGAAAAGTTAAAGTCTCTCCCCAGATATTTCTAAGCTTCGAACAGTCTAATCTGTTTTCAAATTAATGAAGCTATAATTTCCATAACAAAGCACTGGCACAAGAGATTCACAGTGGCTTTATTTTACATATTGTTAGTTACCACACCATCTTTAACATCTAACGTTGACAGGCCAGAAGGATTTTAAGTTGCATCAACTTTAAATATATTGATAAGAAACTGGTGTTCCTCCTTATCACTTCTAGTACTGCCATTTATTCACCTTTCCCAACTAGTGTGCAATGAAAAGTGTTTTAAATATCAGATATAATGAATGTGTCATGATGATACAGCTTTCACAGGTCATGCTAAGTAAAAAAGTGTCTGAGGCAGAAACTAATGTATCAATATGATTCTGCAACACAGATTCAATAAAGAAATATAATAAAAAAAGGAAATTTCTATTTTCCAAGCCACCTATGTATTTGTTGATGGCCTGTCATGTCCATGACTCTTAGAACGCAGAACAGCACTGGCTGTGCTACACCCTTGTCAGAATTTGTAAACAATTTTTTGCTCTTATTAAACATTTACTTACAGTTTTATGCTGCGGAGTATACCCATACATATGTACATATAAATGTATGTGTATGTTCATATGCAAATACACAGAGTTCTGTAGGGACACGTGCATGCACATTTACCATAAAAATAAGCATTTTATGAAAGTCAACTGGTACATCAGTAATTCTGATACAACTTCTTTCAGCAGCAGAAGACAGTCTCTGATGCTGCAATGAAGAGACTGAGGGGGAGAAGGAAACGGGGCAGAGCTGCAGGAGGGATGCAGTGGATGGGAACAGTGTCCCACCAATTCACCTCTTTGTCAAATCTGATCCAAGTTAGAGGTGCTTGGACAGGTACTTGGTGTTTCTGAGAAATCCCAAATTACTTTTGCTCAAGGGACACCCCTTTGGCCTAGTGAGAGGAATATTTTGGTATGTTGTAAACCAGCAGCATAGCTAGGAGTACGAGCAGCGAAGCTTGTTCAAGGTGCCTAAGCAAGAGCATGATCTACTCATGCCTACTTTGCCATAAAGCCTAAATTTTACACAACTGGTGAAAAGTAGGAAAACCTGCCCGTAAATGTGAAAAACTCAGACATGTTCAGATAACCACAGACTTATGCTACACTTAAATATCACACCACAGGAACTACAATCACTAGACACCTTTCTAGTGTTGCAATATCATTGAAGTTAGCTATGATGTAATATATATGTGAAGGAACATCCTAGTTAAAACACTTAATAAAAGGCAGAGCAAACTAAAAAAGGGCACAAGCACTGCCTTTTCAAACAGTTCATTCCAAATACAAAATTAATTTGTTCTTGTTAGCTATTTGCATTAGTTTACGAAGCTTTGAAAACACACGCATCAATAATCTAAACTTGTTAAAAGATGTACTGCAAAGACTTACAAATGGAATAATGGATGATTGCTGCCACAGGCCACCCTCCCTTCTGTTCCAAGATTAAAATAAGGACAAAAGGAATTGATGCCCTTAAACCAGATGTGAAACTTTCTTCAATGAATGGGAGGGAAATTTGACCTTGGTTGCTATGTGTTCTTTAAGACTCAGAAAAAAGAAATACATTTTGAAATGCACTGCTTGACCATTAAGGATGCTAACAGAACAGGCAAAACTTACTGTAAGGCTTTTTGCAGCAGAGCAAACAGACTAAGCTTTATTTTAAATTCAACTTAAAACTCGAAGAACAGATGCAACTGAAGATCACATCGCTTCAAATATGAAAGCACACAGTAAGCAACTGCAGCACTGTACTGTAAGCAACTGCAGAAAGTACTGTATTATATAGCTGAGTTCAACCCGAGTGTAACCGGTCACCAAGTAAAGCTTCATTGTTAGAAACACCTCATGATTTCTTACTACTTTGCAGCAACAAAACTCATTTTAAATCCGGTATTTATGAAAACATATGCTACCCAACAGGTATTTCATATACTAAATTTTCAATCCTCTATGGCAACCAGTTCAAGTAAAACAGCTCCACAGTTAAATGCCTATGTATTAACACCTTGATAATTAGGTAGAATACTTCTGAACCTCACTGGAAAAAAATGCAAGTAATCAGTTCAACCTCTCTAGCATTGATTCTCTATCTTTCAGAGCACTGAATAAGTATTTGACATTATGACATTATGGATCAAATTCATTAACAGTGTCAACTCTATTGATTTCAGTGATGCTGCAGTGAGAAATGTGAGCATGTCACCCTTCTTTCTCTCTCTGTTTCTTTTCACTTTTTGTTTTGTAAACACTTTAGTGTGAGTACATCCTCAACATGCAAAATTTAATTTTGATTTTGAAACTGTTTGGTTTCTGAAATATTTTATCTTGTACTTAGGGATTCCAACAAATTTATAAGATATGATCTCAGCCATTGTTACAGTGGTAAAAATTCATCTTCTAGTGTAGAGGACATTACATCATGCAAATATCAGCCAAGTGCTTACCATATAGGAAAACTGCAAAGATACCTTCCTTTGTGTATTTGCAATTTGTTGAGGGTTGAGAATTGTAGGGAGTTTATTTCACTCACGGCATGGTTTACTAAAGCTGCAAGTCCAGGCATACATGATGGATTTATTCACTGTCACCTTTATTTGCATAAAGTAGTTCATGAGAGCATTCTAAATTTAAAATTCTCCATGAAATTATTATCTGTCTAAAGCATTTTAAACATCTACTAATTCTTTCACTATGTAGGGCTACAAGTGCTTCATCTTGCTTTAAAAGTTTTGAATAAGGGAAAATGGTTCCTGGCATAATTTTCTATGTTGTTAATTTGATAATAAGAACTGCACCCTGGAACTTTAGAAGTCATTTGAAGAGAATATACGAGTTAGCCAACAGATTCTCAGTTAAAGCTTGCCTGTAATTGTACCTATTTTGGATTGAATGATTAATTATTTAAATAAAATGTAAGCTTTCCAGATCTGAAATTTTCTACTCTCTTCCTCTGGTAAACGCAGAGGTAGCGTGTATAAACAGGTTTGCACAATATTTTTTGCTATTCTCTCTACATTCATAGGAAACAGTGCTTTGTTGTCATTGTGTTTTTACCTTAAGCCACCAAGGTACTCCTGTTTTTCAAATATGGTGATGTTCGAATAGCCCAATCGAGCCAAAAAGGAAGCACAACTTAAACTTGCAGGTCCTGCACCAAGGAGAGCTATCTTCACGTGATAGGCTTCAGGCATATCTTCTATACGAGGTAAGGAAGGGTTTCTGATCTGAGGAATATTCATAGCTTTGAACACCTGAAAAGCAATGCAGGCAACAGGTTACATACTTTATGTTCCCTCCTTAAATTTTATTATGAATAACGTGATGGAAGCTTCTGCTAGTACTGTCACATATCATTAACGCATTATTGTGGATCGCTTCCTATCATTACAGGGATTCCCAAATTACATGATACATGCATTTGTAAGGGATGCTGTAGTTGCAGGCTTTGGTCCTTCTATGGTTCTTTTGTCTTAAAAATGTCTGAAGTCAGATCTTTCACTACTGTGAATTTTACAGAGAAGGTGGAAACAGACTACCAGTAACGGAATAGTAATACAAAGTCAGCCAGATGGCAGAGAATCTCTGTAACACCAAAAATTTCCTTCCTAACAATGTTCAGATTATTTTTACTACTAGAAAAGTATTTTAGAATCATAGAATCGTCTAGGTTGGACGGAACCTTTAAGATCCTCTAGTCTAACCATCAACCTAACACTGCCAAAACCATCAGTGAACCATGTCCCTAACCACCACGTCCACCCATCTTTTAAATTCCTCCAGGGATGGTGCCTCCACCACTTCCCTGGGCAGCCTGTTCCAATGCTTAACAACCCTTTCTGAGAAGAACTTTTTCCTGATATCCAACCTAAATCTATCCTGGCGTAACTCGAGGCCACTTCCTCTTGTCCTATCACTTGTCACTAGCAAGAACAGGTTGACCTCCACCTCTCTACCACCTCTGTGTCTCCAAGCACCACATCTATCCGTCTCTTAAATACCTCCAGGGATGGAGATTCCATCACTTCCCTGGGCAGCCTGTCGCAATGCTTAACAAACCTTTTGGTGAAGGAATTTTGCCTAATATCCAATCTAAACCTCCCCTGGTGCAACTTGAGGCCATTTCCTCTTGTCCTATCACTTGTTACTTGGGAGAAGAGACTGACACCCACGTCGCTACAACCTCCTTTCAGGTGTTTGCAGAGAGCAATAAGGTCTCCCCTCAGCCTCCTTTTCTCCAGCCTAAACAACCCCACTTCCCTCAGCCGCTCCTCGTAAGACTTTTGCTCTAGACCCCTCACCAGCTCCGTTGCCTTTCTCTGGATGTGTTCCAGCACCTCAATGTCTTTCTTGTAGTGAGAGGTACAAAACCGAACAAAGAATTCGAGATTCAGCCTCACCAATGCTGAGTACAGGGGGACAATCACTTCTCTAGTCATGCTGGCCACACTATTTCTGATACCCGTCAGGATGCTGTTGGCCTTCTTGGCCACCTGGGCACACTGCTGGCTCATATTCCGCTGCCAGTCAACCAGCACCCCCAGGTCCTTTTCTGCTGGGCAGCTTCCCAGCCACTCTTCCCCAAGCCTGTAGCACTGCATGGGGCTGTTGTAACCCAACCGCAGGACCCGGCACTTGGCCTTGTTGAACCTCATACCATTGGCCTCGGCCCATCGATCCAGCCTGTCCAGATCCCTCTGTAGGGCCATCCTACCCTCAAACAGGTCAACACACCTGCCCAACCTGGTGTGATCTCCAGACTTACTGAAGGTGCACTCAATCCCCTTGTCCAGGTTGTTGACAGAGATATTAAAGAGAACCAGCTCCAATACCAAGCCCTGAGGAACATCACTTGTGACTGGCCGCCAACTGGATTTAACTCCATTCACTACCACTCTTTGGGTGCAGCCTTCCAGACAGTTCTTTACTCAGTGAAGAATACACCCATCCAAGCCACAAGTAGCCAGTGTCTCCTGGAGAATGCTGTGGGACATGGTGCCAAAGGCTTTACTAAAGTCCAGGTAAACAACATCCACAGCTTTTCCCTCATCCATTTTTTTTTTTTGTGAATAATGCCAAGGATTGCAATACCAGTGAAGAGGCTTTGCTTCTTCAAGAGATGTCTTGTGTGATCCTGGATAAATCACTTATGGCTTGACTTTTTAGAGGTGGTAGGTAACCAACCTTAGGTGGTTTTGCAACTTTTTTTAGGAACTGCCCCTAGTCTTCAGTGCTGTATTTTCACTGGTAACCCATACTTTAAATGCCTCCTCTTAGATAATTCTAATAGGACTTACTTCATGTTAGTTGCTCATCTCTTTCAGATGTTCCCCACTTTTTAATCAGGTGTCCAAAAGTTGTAGGCATACCTGAAAGTTAGATTGTTCTCCCTATGCCTCAATTCTTCACCTGTAAAATGGTGATCTGCTCCATTCTGTCTTGACTATGATTCTGTGACCACTACAGGTACTTCAGGACACTCTCTGACCACTATTATGTATAGAACAGAACTGAGCACAATGGGCTCCTACCTAGTTGCAATGTCACACAAATGTCACACACAAAATCACACAGTTTTGCATTAAATCAGTTCTTTGCTTACGCACACAGGTAAGAGCCTAATGCAGAAATATTCTACATCCACTGAGCTAGACTTCACTGCCCTATGCATTTACATACATTGTAGGCGAAGGAACAGAGTCTCTACCTTGTATGACCTATAAAAGTAAAGAATAGGCTCACAGCCCTTGCAGGCTACTAAAGATTAGGAGCATGGAAAAGCATAGTTACAGCTTTGTTTTATTTTAGGCATTACGGGAAAATATTTAACCCAAGGAGTGTATCTTTGTAGCAGAAGCACAACATTATACCAAAAGGATACAAGAGCTCATTGCATCGGGATTCTCAGTGGTATCACAAACACTTCAGGGCTGCCTCAAAAACTCCAGAACCTCAAAAACTACCAGAAGACAACATTTTTCCCTATCTATTTCAATGCAGAATGTGTTCCACAAGTACTAACTCATCCTCTAAAATACATACATCAACATTTGTCTTAATAAATAGCATATTTAAGTTATTCAACAAGTTTACCAACAGCTTTTACTTTCCTTAGAACTCAAGAAGCAAAGGTTTTTCAAGTTAAACTTTGGCAATTCCACTTGTGAATAGAATTTTTCATTTAAATTTTGAATCAATGTTCATTTTCTTCATGCGCACTTGAGCACTCATGCTAGCTAAACCAATGATTAGTTCCTTCCCCCTCTAAAATTTCTGTGTCAAATTCCACCAGTCTTTGTAAATTGACATAGCATTTTAACAAACTGCAAGAAGCAAGAGACAGATAATTGTTTTAAAAAAAAGAATCATTTAAACCTGACAATTCATACAATATGGGAAGGTTTAATGTGGTTATTAATGGATTTCACAGGCTGAAAAGCTTATATTGTACCGTGAAACTAGACTGTGATAACCAAAATGCAATATTTCTAAAATGTCTGCTTTGTTACATTCACACAGAAATGGCTTGAATGATACCAAATTTCCATTAAAGTCTCATGCAGTTGTTTTAGAAGGCTACTTGGCAATACAAATTCTATAACTTGCATACTTAATTTCTGTATTGAACATTATGAATATGCATATGCTTAACAAATTTAGCATTAAATTTACTTTATTGTTAACAGAATTATTTTTATATTTATGATTGAATAGTCACACCCATCAACTAAACGTTATACTAAAGTGCCACACTACTGTAAGTGCAGCCTTAAGCTTCAGAAACCAAGCACTCACACAGGATATCCTCATAGTTCAGGCTGAATGGTCAACTTTAACTCTGCCTATTTGCAAATAGGGTGAAACTGTCTTTATGCCGCACAGCCAGCTTGTGCAGTGATATCTTGCCATCTGGAATTCAGTGGCAGTTTTGCATATTAAGGCTGGCAGAGTAACTGTGTGAAAATAGCAAACTGCTTCAATGCATTTCAAAAGATTTTCACTCACCTCATGGTGAAGTTTCCCTGCACTTTAATTCACCTAATTAAACATCACTGAATTCTCCTGTACAAATTCTTTGGTGTGCAGAGATGAGTACTTTTCAAGCAAGTGTTCAATGCCACATTACCCGCAACTGTCTTCTCTGATTTTAATCTGCTCAGACCGTGGTCAGGATGCAAGTAAAGTTTAACACTACTGCCTTTCTTGTCCACCTCCCTTTCAAAAAGAAGATTTCATTTTTGTTTGGATGGATTTTTCTTTTGTTTCGCAGTGCTTTTTAACCAGACCCATTCAGGTACATGAGACCAAATGATGATTTTTCAAAACCGAATCTCTCAGTGGAAAGACTGAAATGAAAGACATCAGCCTCATGTCTGCCTTTCCTTCTGGCTCTGTCTCACAGACAAATAAAAGAGATTAGATAGATTATTAATAGATATTAGTAACACTGGGCATTTGTCCTTTAAGTTTTTACGAAATAATATGCAATCATCATTACTTCACCACCCGGGGCCTATTCAGACTAAACCCACATAGATTCTGTCCCCTTCTTATGCTTCCATGTCCATTAGGGTCCACAGAAAGGATATTCCAGTTTACAAAAAAGATTATGGAGACTTTGTCCTTAAGTGAGATACAATTTGACCAAACCGAAACAGTCAATTTATTCTGCTAAAGTTCCAACAACCAAAATAAATTCTCTCTTGATTCAATTATTTATAACATACCACAGTTTCCCTATTTGCATTACTTCAGTGTGTAAAAGTGTGAGTGCACTTGCTCAATGTTCTCTCCAGGGCGAAATCTGGGCGTTTGTTCCCCTTGTGAATTAAACACGCTTTTACTGCAGTGGGGTTGGTTCTTGTCCCAAAACATTCAGTATACTCAACAGAGAGAGCATAATTCCAGGCACTGTATGCAAACACAAGTTTGTATTAAGGTTCCACAGTACTTCTCACTTAAGCAAACTATAGTGGTTTCAATTGCTGAGCATCTGATTCAAGTTTAATTTTCCTGGAAAGTTTTAGCCAACTCACTTTAGCTGTTTTTCAGAATGCAGACAGGGAAAAGCTTATTGTTCTCCTCACGTAATATAATTCTGGTTCTTTTCTTCACCACATGACTCTAGTATTAGCATGTTTTGATGAAAAGCTGTGACATTTGGCAGAGAGTGGCAGGTGACTCAGAGAAATGCATTTTGCTAACCTGATGAAAATCATTTTATGGCATAGTAAGCATGATTTAAATGAATCTA